CTACTGAATGGAGTTCCATCCAAGAATAAAATAATAACGGGGCAGGGGATGTAAATAGATCCATCCACTTGGACGGAGGCATCTCCACTTGGACGGAGGCACCATGCCTCCGTCCACTTGCCTCCGTCCACTTGGATGGAGGCACGATGATGTCTCGGGAGATGTCCTCGCCCGCGCAAGCGATTTTTTTTTTTTAATAACATTTTTTCCTTTTCTCTTAAGGCACCATGCCTCCGTCCAAGTAATGAAGGCATGGTTTGCCTCCATCCAAGCACCATGCCTCCATCGAAGTGGATGGAGGTGGGGAACAAAGAGGGATGCATTCTTATCTGCAAAATTTGAACTCCTGAGAAGCTAGGTTCTGAATAGGCAGTTGATTATCTGACCTGACTCAGAACTGGTACTGTTGCCCAACAGGGACATGCTCATGTTTACAGCTCCTAAATTAGGTTTGTTGCTAGGAGGCTCTACTGCTTGCTTCTTGTTGCTGAATAGCTCTTGCTCGATGTGTCCATAGACCACTGATGAGCACGTTTTTGCTCAATTCTAGCAGAAGTGTCATAACCCATCTCTCCATCAGCCAAAGTGCCATAGTCACGGACATCCAAATATTCTTTTTCTGAAAGGACTGTCAAAAATATTAGTGAAAGAAACTAAAGTAATAATAACAATGTTGTGCCACTTGCTGCCATGTGACCTTCTCACCTTAATTCATTTCTTTGGCACTTGGGATTTAAGGATGGGACGTGAACATGATACAATTGATGAAGTTACTAAATATTATCCAAAAGGAATATTGATAAAATCCGTATATGACAAAGAAGGTCGATAAAGAAAAGCATATATGACACTGAGCATTAGGAATGTGGGTAAAATGAAAATAAAGAATAGTTTATAATTTTGTAACACAAGCATGCTATCTGAAAATCGTATAATCCAACTTATAGATATTCCTTTAACAGAGAAAATTCAAGTAGATAAGAGTCATAAATACAGGGATTCAAACTTTGTTAAATCAAATAAAGAGGCCATCTCATTGTAGAAAATTAAGAAGTTAAGAGGCAATTGTGTCTGGCAACACTATATAGTTGAAAATGAAAGTTTAAACATGGGATAGCAATACGGAAGAGAATGAGGTGGCAGAGAAGAACAAGAAAGAACAGAATTGCTAACAATAGTCAGGGTCACAATAGTTTGATAGATGAAAAAAAAAGAAAGTAGGTTGCATTCAGTTAACGATACATGGAATGCAGTACTTGAAAGTAATTTTTTTTACCTGCTGAATATCTTTCATTTACAAATGAATTTTTCCAAAAAAATGAATACCAGGAAGAAAATTAAATAGTAAAAGATGTTAACTGCCTCCAAATTACATTTTATCATCTAAAATTAATTAAACAAGAAATCATAAAATATACTGTAAAAAAAATACTCAAATCATAATTAAACTTAGCTTTTGCAAAAAATGAATCTTGAGTAGGTAAATATAAAAACTAAATTTTTGATTGATTAGGAAAAATTAAATACGGAAAGGAAGAGCAAGAAAATGATAAACTTTCCAACACAAAATTATTTTCATAGCTCGACTTTTTGGGAGCCGAATTATCATC